TTTTTTTTTTTTTTTTTTTTTTTTTTTTTTTTTAAATTTTAATGACGGCTTTTACTGTTCTCGCCAGAGCCATTTGCCAGCTGCCACAGTCAACTATTCCCCACACATGGAGGAGAGGCTCAAAACAGGACTTTGTTTCACAGAAGGTGAGAAACACACAGGCTGGGGCTGCTGACTGGCACCGCTTCCTCCCCAGGGTGCTCCTGGAGCCCCGACTGCTCTTTTCTCTCCTTCCTGGGCCTGGCCACCATAATCTCAGCCTTATTGCTCTGGCCAGGAGTTTCTGAGGACTGTTTTCAGTGTTTTATTTCCTATTTCTGTATGTGCATTTTGGAGGTCTTTCTCTGAGGTCTGCCTGGGTGGCTTTTGCCTCTCTTATGGGATTCTAAAATTATCGGCTGATGCTTATTCTCTTTGTTGGGTGAAATGTTTACAGCCTCTTGCTAAATCTGAACGGTTCGTCTCTAATTTGCGTTTTTGTCTTCTTCAAACCCTAAGGAGAGAGAGATATTTTGAGTCCAAATTAGTTGTCTGGAAATTGTACTTTGAAGGAAAAAACATACTGCTAACTGCTACTGACTGTGCAGTAGGTAAGGCTGAAACCCAACCGATAGCTATGTCCTCCAGCTGGGGAGGTTTAACCGAGGCCGCTTCCTTCTCAGATGCCTATTTCAATGGGTTATGTGTGCTATTTGTGTAAGAGGAAGAACTAATTTCAGATCCCTCTCTTCATAATTATGTTGCGGGCTCATATTGGTGGTATCTTAATGCCCCATGCAAACTACTGAATTGAGCCCAGCCTCTTGTGTTTTGAGTTGTGCCCTGCCCTCCCTACCATGAGGTCTCCACAGGTTTGGCATCTGCTGTTGCCCTTTCTAGGCCACCAGCTAGACAAACCCTAAGCCCTGAATTGCTTGTATGGGCTGGTGGCACTGAAGGCACAACCTGGAGCACCTGTGGAGGTGGATCCAGGCAAAACAAGGATGAGCTGGTGAGGCTGTAAAGTCATTTCTCCAGACAATGGAGAAGGGAATGCCTAAGAAATGCACCTGCCAAAAATGGCTCCCAGCTGAATGTGTGAGAGACAGACAAATGGGTTTTGGACAGACAAAATGGTCATGCATGTAACCCACAGAGCCTCTGGGAGAAGAAGATCAGGCCTGTAATTGGAGCAATAACAGGGGAAAGATCTGTGTGGTCCATGTTTTTTCAGTCACTCCTAGCACGCCTGCAGGCAGGCAGCCATGTGGCTTAGCGTTAGGCAGGGCTTTCTTATCCTGCCACCCTTTGCCTCTGCTTAGGACCACGTCAGTCACGACCACACCAGTCTTGCCCCAAAGTAAATGATATATCAATAAATCAGGAACGACAAAAACGTTGCCATTGCAATTTCAGGCAGAATTTAGCCAGATCTGCTCTATGTTTTCTTATGATCCGGTTAGTTCTTGCACAAGCACAGCTTTGAAGGCAATTTGTATGAGTTGGAACTGTGAGAGTACATTTTCCACAGAGGACAGTGTAGATCAACGATTTTACATTGTTATGCTGATGAGCATTTTACACTGTTTTTCACTTGCTGAAGGAAGAGAAGTCTGTAAAATAAAGGGAGCTTTTCAAGAGAATGTGATCACCAAACACACCTCCAGGATTTTGCTTCGTTGGAGATGGCCAGGATGTTATTTGCATTCTCAGCAATAAGTACATTTTCTTCATTTGTCTTGTGTCCCGTCTGTGCAGCTTCCATGAAGAGCTGTGCCTACAGGCCTCCTCTCATGTGCTCATTCAAACACACACAAAGGATCACACCGGGAAACAAGTGGTATCTTTGAAGTTGCAGTTTTTGCGGCTCTGGGAATCTAGCCAGAATCTCTGAGTGAGGTTGGGGATATTAGCTAGACCTCCAAAATCAGCATCTGCACGAGCAGGAGGTTGTCTGGAGCCTGGCTTTCAGAATTATATATATTTTTTATTTTTCATCCCTTCTCAAACAGGCTGTCATGCTGGCTCCCTGGCTATCCAGTGCACACATGCATCTTGGATGGAGATAAAGTATCACCATCTACTGGCGGCTGGAAGGATAACGGCAGAAAATTTTAGAAGGTAATGAAATAAAAGAATTGGCTGTGCTTTTGCCAGGTACAGGTGTGAGATGCTGCAGAGAGCCCTGCTCCAAGGGAGGGGAAAGTGGCTCAGACGGCCGCTTTGCACCGCCTCACCCTGAAGACCCTCCTTCCTGAAGCCTCCTTGGCTGTGTTAGAGCAGCTCGAGCCTGGCAGGGTATTTCTGACTTGCCCTTGCTGTGGTTGCACCTGCCCTTTGGTCTTCTGTGCAGAAAAGGGCTCCTGGCACTGTTTGCTTATTGTCTGTGTGCTGTATTGGGTGATGCTCTTGAGGGCTGGAGCAGTTGTGGCTTAATTGCCTGGAAATGGGAAGCTGTGCTCGTGAGCCACACTACCCCAGGAAGCAGCCAGCCCTTCCTCGCAGGAGCTGGGCCCAGGTCTCCGGGCTGCAAAGGGCTCTGGCCAGCTGGGCAGCTTCCAGGCTGCCATAGCCAGGTGTCAAGTGCAGAAAAGATCCTGTTTCTGCTATGCCCTTTGCAGCAAAGCGACCAGTGAACCCAGAGCAGGGGTGTGTCAAGATAGGAAGATGCTATTTGCTGCTCTGATTCACACGTGTTGATGGGTTGTTGAGATCAGACAGACGTGACAAGCTGCGGTGACCTGGAGGACAGGGAGGAATTGGGGTCATCTCCTGTTGACAGGGAGGGTGCTCCACAGGCCATGACTTTCCTGCTGTCCTTGCTTCAAGCACAGCCGTGGCATGGCTCGTTCTCTACAGAAATCCCCCAGCAGAGGTGCAGGGTGCCACAGCCCATGCAGAGCCCTCAGTAGGTGAAGGAGTGGATGAGCATGCCTAGAGACAGTGATGGAGGTAACAGCGCTGGGGATGGGATGTCTTTGCTCAAAGGTCCCCATATCTGCCACATCCCATCTGCTGAAGGCAGAGAGAGGCAATAGTGTATAGGCGATGTTGCTGAGGTGCTGAGGTGGTCCTGTGGTGTGGGCACACTTGTTGCAGTGAGAGAGCAGAGATCATGGAGCTGACCACCAGCAGTGGGCAATGGAGCACCTGCACCCAGCTGGGATAGCTTCCCCAAGGGGCTGTAGGCAGGTCCTCCTAGCCCATCCTTGACCAGTGGTCACCAGCACCTGCAGGGTCTGAGGGAGACGGAATGGAGTAAAGGAGATGATGGAAGTAAACAGAGTGAAGGGGTATCAGAAAACAGCTGGGGAACTGACTGAGAGGAGAACAGTCAAGGACTTCATGGCGGTGATGGGGGATCTCCTTCAGTAAAGCAGCTCTTGCCCTGCTTCCCCAAGGTACTTGTGTGACTTGGCCTTCTACTAAAACATTGCCTTTTGTTTACATGCAGAATGTGTCAAGGTGGCAGCCACCCTGGAAATTACAATACAATGTAGGCACACAGTTTTCTTCCCTACACTTCTTCCCTCCCTGATGCTAGGTGGGTTTTGAAGCCTGGGGTGAGCTTCATGTTGCTGCAGCACACAGGTTTAAGTGTGGATGGAGTCTCTGCTGAGACCACAGGATAGAAACAGGCTGCACATAACGTTTGTGTCGGTAGTCAATAAGGGTGCAGAGGAGATTTGTCTCTTCTTCCTAGGTTACTTGGACCTGTTGCATCAAATACTCTTAAGAGAGTTTCCTAGGAACCCCAGCACCCACCAAATGCGTCATGTGGACTTCTAGGACAGACACCACCAGGCTTTACTAAATATTGACTTTGCTTTGATTGCCAGTTAAAAGGTAATCAGAGGGAAGAGGGACTAATAGTCAACCCATCTTTTAGGTGCTTTATGCTTTTTCTTACTGAGGACTTCAAGACTTCTCTTCCTCTTGGGTGTGTTCCACCTAACCACAGAACTCCAGTTTATCCCATTTTCTATGAAAGTGGCTGCAGCCTTGGCCCTGGGGAAGGCAGCGAATCCACGATCCTGGAAATTGTGGGACAGCTTTTCAGGGGCTGAAAATACAGCAACTTGTGTTGCTGGGTACATGGCTTCTTGTCAGACAACCAGTGAATAGTGCTGAGGGACTGTTAAGGACATGGATGTGCTCTGCTGGAACTTTGTCAAAGTTACAACCTTTCCACAAAACCACAAAATGTTTAACATCACTAAATTAGCAAATTCTAATGAAAGAAATATTTCAGCTGATTTTTCTCTATCTTTCTCTTGTGGGTAACACATGAAACAAAGAGAAGAGGGCATTAAAATTAAAATAAAAATCTATTTTTAATTTTAAAAAGGCAACCCTTGCAAGCACACACTGTGCATTATGATACAGAACTTAACTATATGGCTCTCCTATGCAATCATTTCCCAGGGCAAACATATAAAGGAGTAGGACTGAGGATGTACGGCAGCTGTAAAAAAAAAAAAAAAAAAAGAAAGGGTCCCTTTTTAATTTAATGGTTTTACTTGCCAGTATATGTAGTAACACAAAAGCAGTGTGGCTTGGCACCAGTGCAAGAGGACAACAGTCCAGCATAAGGAGCAGTCATCTTTCTGGGGTGGCAGAGAAGGAAATGTCAGGCCATGGGGCTGTCCCCCAGGCTGGAAAGCACAGCAAAACATTTCCTACCCTACAGCAAATGCAGCTGCAGCAGCCACCTGCCTTTCCCAAGAAAGGAGAGGAGAACAGAGTTCATTTCCCTGGGTCGTTGCTGCTATAACCATTAAGATTTTTGTTGTTCTCAAATTATTATTTTGCTTTGTCATATTTTCATTGGAGCCAAATGAAAACATTGAGAACTGCAAATGAGTAATGTCTGATCTCGAGGCTTGAGCTAAATGTCTTTACTGTGTTTCCTCTTGTAACACCATGAGATTCAAGGGAGAATTAGATTTGGCTTTGTGGTCCTTATTTATTGAAAATGTCCCTCAATATGCCAGTGACTGTACAGGGAATACTTGTATGACTTTTGAGATATGGATCATTTGCTTTGTTATTTTTTCCAGTAGTAGTTTATTTTGGCTATCTCTTTAAAGAAAAAAGAAAAGAAATCTTTCAAGCGTATCAGCAAATCAGGCATTATTTTGTGCGCTGTGGTTATCCTATGCTTCTCTTAAGAGTTCTAGCACATAAATAAACTTCTAAGAAGGGCATTATGAAAATACCCCACAACTGAAAAAAGATGTGGTTTTAATATCAAAATTTGTCCCTCAGCCATTTTTCACTGTTTTGTTGGCAACCACTGACGTTGGATCAGAGGGAAAATATGTTCCAAAATATATTTTGCAGTGACTATTTTGGTTTCAATTGCCCGTTTGATTGTGCCAAGCAGATCAACATTCAAGACACCTTATTAATAAATTTTTTTTCTGCTTGCTTGCAAAAGCAAAATACAAGACCTATTTATGGAGAGAGCCACTTAAAAAAATATTCCGTGTTCCTGAATTGTGTGCACCACAAACCCAGTTGTTTCATTAGTTCATTGTCATCTCCATGCAGACAATTCTGCTTTTATGGGGGGTATTATTTTCAAAGAGTTTCTTGCTGAAATCAGGGTGCCGAGAGCCCTGGGTCTCCCCTGATATTATTGGGTTTGTATTTTTGTGTCTGACACCTGTTGGAACCGAGTCCTCTCTGTCACTGGGGGGAAAGCTTGGGCTTCCCTTGGCAATAAATGCTGGATTTGCTGATGCAAGTGGAGGTCCTCTTTTAGTCTTACTTCCTGAGCAGGACACACATTCTTCACACCCTTTTTTTAGCTTCTGCAAAAATCTGTTGGAACTCTCTGAGAGACACTGGGTTTCCTTGTGGTTTTGCACCAGAGTTGTCCCTTTTCTGTTTCTTCTCCCTTCAGTGAGGATTAGATGGGGAGTGAATTTTTTCCAAAATGTTTTTACGGTACATCCCTCATTCTACAGCAAATTAGAGACCCTTTGCTTGGTGACATTTGTGTCAGCACACAGTGGCCTCATTTTACTGCCTATTGCCAGGTAAACAGTACCACGGCACTGAATAGGACCATTCACGTGGGGACAGATTGCAGGATCAAGCCCTTGATCTAGATTCGAATCCAAGAGAAGGCATTGATTTTACTATGTAAACTCTGTGGGTTTTGTGTCAGCTGTGTGAAGGTTGTGTGCTTGCTTGGCTCTAGAGCTGCCCAGCAGCGGGAAAGCACCTGGTGCTTTACACCCACCCCTGAGCAGGGGCCCTGGACTTCTCTGGGGTCCTTAGAAGAAGCTGAACCAAGAAACTCAAGATCCAACAGGTCTGTCCCAGAGTGCCCGTGCAACAAGACTTCGTTCCTGTTGCACCTTTACAGAATACATAAATCAAAAGGAATTTAGGGGTAGAGGAAGTATAGGAATTAAATGATGTAACAGTATTTGGAATTTTGGAGTGAAGAAGAAACTAAAAGTGTAATACAGGAACAGGATCATTTTGTCATATCTGGATAGCCTGGAAATGACCAACTGGAATTTTACCACATTTCCTGCAGGAAGCCAACTAAGGAGAGTTGCAGTCTGGAAGTGATTTTGATACAGAGTTTTAAGCAACTCAGTATATACTTACAAGAGGAGTGCCAGCAGTGCCTGCTGACTCGGCTCTGGAAGGCACAGAGTAAGGAGTTGATCAACACTTGCATGTTGGGCATGACCACTTGGTTAAGGTTTATCTTGGAACTATGGTCCACTGCTTTTAGCCAAAGCTTCTCATAGTTTGATACTAAAAACAACCTTAAAACAGTATCACCTGCCTTGCAGGACTTTTTATTCCTAATGTGATCTGTTTGGATTTTGGTTTTTTTGTTTGGTTTTTTTTTTTAAATTTCAAGACACAATGAAGAAGAATACTCTGGCTAGTGCTGTTGGGATGTCTTTCTCAGGGTACAAGAGCATGTCTCACCTGAGATCCTTACACGGAGCTTGTCAACTCTGTGAGTGTCCTTCTGGCATGGATTTGTCCATTGGGCTATGGCTGTTGTTACTGTGACTTGTTATGTTTAGACAATGTATTATTTTCACCGCAGAGCAATGTCCCCAACACAAGGATACTTGCCAGACCTGTGAAAGCTTTCAAGCCGTAAGAACATTTATGGAGTTTGGAGATGTGGAGCCACCTCGGTGCAGGTAAAGGGATCTAGGAAAAGCCTCTTTTTTGGCAGCTGCACAGGGAGGTAAGAACCCAGGCTTACTATGAGGTACAAGTTTCATTAAATGTTCATGCAGCATTGTTTCTCCAAACACAGAAGTGCTCTTGGAAAAGCTGCCCTAGAGGACATTTCTGCCGAGTCAGTTGTAAATCCCAATTCAAAATACAAATCACACTCTGGCAGAAGTATTTCAGGATTTTATCTGATATTTAAATAAATTTACATCTGCAAGAAAGTCTTCAGATGTGCTATAATCCTACTACAGTAATCCTTAAATATTTGTCTACTTGAAACAGGAAATCTGAAATAGCTGTGATATTATGACAAGAAATAAGTGTGAAATCTTGCTCATTCAGTTAACAACAGCACAAGGTTTTATGGCTAGCCTGGTGTCAATGACTGCACTAGATAGGAATAGCCTCAATAAATATGAGGCTCTGATTTGTTCTCAGCTGCACTGTTATAAATCCAAACTATTTCCCTGCTAGCAGAGGAAATATTCCACTTTACTGTACTAGTAAGATCCATATAAGTAGCATTGATATAATTATATAAAGTAGCTAGAATTAAAAATGAGCCTCCTACAGTTTACGTTGTAATTATGTACTTGATTTCTGAAGTGGAATCTAGTTCCATACGGTGTAATTAAGAAGAGTAAGATCTGGGTTATCTTACATAGTGTTTCCTTGCAGATTTTTTAGATACTTGGTAGAAACAGCCTTTCTTTTATGTGATTTACAGGAAGAACTTGGAGACGGAGTCACTATCCTTCTTACAGAGAGGGAAAAAAAATGGTGTTACCCTGTTTAGCAAGAAAATGCATTACTGAACTGCTTCAAGACTCACTGCCTCTGCAGTTACTTGTTATCTTCACTGGAGCTGGGAAACCTGGTTAGCTCAGCCACCAAATATGTTTCCTATAAAATGTCCCCAGTGTTTACTATGAAGAGACTGCATCTGAAAAGACAGCTAAGAATTGTGTATCGGCACATTGACCCTCTCTCTTCATAAGAGGTAAATCTTGTCATAAAATGCAAATATCACATCTGCTATTTTGACAGATCCTTCAAATGTGTAAATAAATTCTGAAGAGGATTTTATTTCAAGACATGTATGAGAATACTGTTTCTTAGTGGTCTGTAAAACACTATAAACACTATAAATAACATGCAACTAATAATCCTGGTAGTGATTAAAATTGACTATACTTTCTTTCCAAATAGATATCTTTTCGCTGGCCAGCTCATTTTCTACTACTTTATTTAGATGCTATGAAAGTGATGGAGAAAAGTCCCTTTCTAGACACGTCTCCTGGTCTGGCCAGAGAAGCCACCTTCTGCAGAGGCTCTCAGTGCCTGACTGACCCTACTTGAACAGTTTGCTTTAATATCAACAGATCACTTCTGAGTTCCTTTAATGACATCTCTTTTCCACTTGAAGTGAAATAACCTATTGCTTCTCATCCTATTTTAAACCTTTGGATGCTTTCCTTGAGTGCACAAATTGAATGACACCATTCACCTACACTGTAGTTTGAGAGTCTGAGTCCTCCTGAGGCTAATTGCAGAAACAGCACAGTGACTGCTCAGAGAAACAGAAATCAAACTGGGAAAGAGTGCTGTCATGCAGGAGGAGAGGTGCCATCCCCCTCAGACTCAAACCCTTTGGGTGCTTCGGTGCCTGCAGAGGCTAACAGCTGCCTTTAGTCTACTCTTTAGGCCTTCTTGCTACCCTCAAGCTTGGCAGTGCTGCAGAGGCTGGTGTGGTTCTGCCAGACTGGAGCACATCTTCATGGACACATCCTTATTTCTTATTTATTTTTTTGTCAGAGTTAGGTTGATGGTTGGACTAGATGATCTTTAAGGTCCCTTCCAACCTACACAATTCTATGATTCTATGTAGTGCTGGGGCGAAGGCCTTGGTAACCTACATCCCCGTGGCTGTCATTGGCACCTGGTTGTCCTCAGGTTGGTCTTTCTCCTCTTGGAGGCATTGCATGCAGTGCGGGTGCTCCTCGGATCAGGGAATGGGGTGCATATCTGCTCTATGTGCCTTTATGACCATGCCAAAATCGCTCATTCACTGATTTTTAGTCCAATATTTATCTATAGTGGGGGTTGTTAGACTCTTGGCTACTCTCTTTAAATAGGGCAAAGTGAAGAATTGTGTTTATGGCCATTGAGTCCCGAAGTGAGCAGGCAGCCACGAGGCAAGTAATTATTTCAGAGTTTCTGTTTTCTAATAAGTACAAAAAAATCAGAGCTGTGGACTTTAGAAGCAATGCTGAAGGCTGAGAGTCTAAAATAGAGCCTGTTTCCCACTGGTTAAGCAGCTCATGTATCTGTTCCCTTCTCACATAGGCTGTTCTCTTTCTCATGTAGTGCTAGCTGCTGAAATAGAAACCCTCAGGCAGGCTTGTGGAGACTGTCCTACCCAAGCCTGGAAATTCCCTCCCACTCCAGGGTGCACAGTGGAGCGTGTCCCATCTGTGCCTCCTTCTTACAGTGCATGAGGGTCCGTGCCGGGGAGCAGACAGGCTTCAGACCCAGGGGCACCACCAGCATCTGTCCCCAGTTGTCAGCTTCCTAACTTCCAAATGCCCCACGTCCTCTGGCTGCTGTCATAGCAGCCGTTGGGCTGGGGAGGCCGGACCTGTGCCTTGAAGGACTTCTCTAACCTTGGCGTGGGTGGGTACGGTGTGGTTCAGGCAGCTCTCCTGCCTGGGGGAGAGCAGCCAGGGCTGGTGCCACTTGTTATTGCTGTTATTTCCCTTGTATGCGGTAAAGAGCAGAGGATTCCTCTAAAAAGCAGAGCTCAGAGCTGAAATGATTGGTTTGCTTTTGATATCAAAAAATTGGATAAGGTCAGCATTTTAATAATATATTTCATTTCATCTCTTTTGAACCCATCGATATTTTAATCTGCATCAGTGTTTCATTGTAGGAATGTATTCTTATGTTAAAACTGCAATTTAATTAGATGAATAAATATTTCCATAAATATGTTTTCAAACCTGATGGTTTTACTCCATGTCCCTACATGTGTGTGATAAAAAAAATTGTGAGTAATTGTTGCCTGTCCATCTTCTCTGTGCCATTCCTGATTTTATGGGCCTACGTCATGTCACATCTCTTGGCTGGGGATCCATCCAAGTATTAATTTATGTAGTTTCCCATTGCATGGAAATTACTCCCTCTTGGCTTTCATCTTCTGTCTGGTTCTAGTACATTTATTTTGAGATGGGAGTACAAAAACTATGCATGTGCAAGACAGAAGGGCCCCATGGATTGGCACAGGAGTAGGAAGACTTTTTATTTCGTTCATTCCAAATGAATCACAAAGTCTCTGAGCGAGCACCTTGGCTCAGTGCAACTCTGTGTGAAGGAAGACATGAGGAAGTCACTCAAAAGCATATTGGAAAGGAGGAGCATCTCTCTGAAAGTTGCTCAAAAGCATATTGGAAAGGAGGAGCATCTCTCTGAAAGTTGCTCAAAAGCATATTGGAAAGGAGGAGCATCTCTCTGAAAGTGGTGCTGTCATCTGGAAGCTTTCCCTTAGCCAGCTGGTTGCCATCTTTCCCAATGATTCATGGGTAGTCTAAATCTATCTAAAAAATCTGGTATGGTTTGTAGCTTAATCTGGAATTTTAGAATAATGAAACCTGATATAACATGGGAAACCCAAGGGGAATCTCACAGAAATGCAGCAAGAGTGTGTTGGGCTGGAAAAGAGCGTAGGAGAAAGCTGGAACTTCACCTGCTTCCACCATGCAAGCTTTTGCTCCCCCTCATGCTCAAACATTGGCATCCTCAACTCAGACTAGCAAATTCTCCTCTGTGCAATGACAGATGACACAAAAATCTGATGTACCAGTTCAGTCTTGTGTTTTGTCTTGATTTTCATTTTTGGATGAACTGCTTTTGCTGTGCATTTGCATAATCAGGAAATTATGTGGACACACAAAAGGGAAGGGAAGAAGAGGGCACTTTGCCAGGGAAGGGACACAGCTTGCTGGAACAAGCACTTTGGTAGCACATCCAAAGCCACAAATTGGCTCTTTTTGTCCCTTCCGTCTTTTTCATGTGTGCTTGAAATAAATCATAGTTTGGGGTTTCTCAAATAAATAGAATAAAATCCAGCACCTCATTATATTATTTGTTTCATTTCACAACACTGCTCATTTTCTCTATCTGAATTGAAGCAGCAACAGAGGATGGGGGACCCATCAACTTGGGACCCTTTACCCAAGTTGATGTCAAGAGTAATGGTTCTGGGATGATTTGTGTTTGTATGTTGGGGGATTTCAGAGAAGCCCGAGATGTATAGTAAGTGCACAAAATCACTCCTTTAGTTTCCAGAGCAGCTGATATTACAGTTGTCAAAATACTGAGTGGTTTGGTTTGATTTGTTTTTTTCAATCCAGTGCTGATCCAGTGCCTTGCATGTTTTAATGATGTCCTTTGAAAAATTCAGCTGAACAGGAACAATATTTAGTACCTTAAAATAATTGTCTTGAGAGGATTAGAAGTCCTTGAGCTTGTGCAGACTAAGTTCAGTCCCTCTCGAGTCGGCCAAGTAAATTTAAAAGTAACAGGAGCAGCATTCTGAGTAATCACTGCTTTCTGCTTGAAATCTCACATAGGCCAGCGTGACAGGCTGTAGGAGGAATACTAAATAAACTGTTAATCCCAAAGGCTTGGCAGGAACTCGCTGAGCATACCTGCCTCTCTGTGGTCTTTTAGCATATAGCAGGCATCAGCACATCCAGTAAAAGATAAACTGGGTCAACTGGGAGAAAAGCAACCGCAAAACCCATTTTATTTCATCCAGGCCTGTTCCACCACAAGATTTAAGAGCCAAATATATGAAAAAGAAGGCAAAGCACCATAAATGCTGTAAGGATATTGGTTTTGATAACATGTCATTGAAGTTCATGTTGTACTTTCACAGCAACATTTGTTGAAAGAAGAACATGACTCTACAAATCTTGACAAATCACATGTACCAATTTCGGAAGTGAAAAGAAGGGATAGCTTCAGCTGGCACTGTGTTAAACTAGTGGTGGCTGTTGAAAGCTCTCTTAAGTGAAGGGAGACACTGGAAATTTATAGGTTTTTTGATGCAGGGTATGTGCTATAGAGTGTGAAATGGCATCTGTTGTGGGACTCTCTACACAGACACAGATAACCCCGTACAGGAAACTAAAGGGTTACTGTTAAGAGCATAATACCCAAAATTGCTAGAAAATTTTGCCAAAATGTGTAATTTTTCTTTCCTGTGCTGTCTAGGAGCGGGGGTGTGCCTGCAAGGAGAGACAAGTTCGTTGCTTGGTAGGACTTATCCTGAGAGGTCCTTGCTGTAGTGTTTGCCGTCTGTGCTGCTTGGTTTTGGCATTATCTTCACCTGCTCCTGCTTCCCTTGCACTACTGTGTGGAAAAACCCATCTGGAGTATTGCTTGATGAGAGCGGCTGCTCCATACCTCTTAAGAAATGATGGATGTGGCAACAGGACTTGGTAAGAAGTTTTCTATGGAATTGCTCTTGGACAAGGTTGTAGAATTAAAGTTTGGATTGTGGATTTCACCTGGCTCAGCTTTGCAGCAATCTTTAACACTTTAAAGTGTTTACGTAGCCAAGGTCAGCCTGAGATTAGACTTTCTGAGTGAGGAATGCTTGAATATATCTTTGGAAACGCAGCTAAACAAGCCTCTTTTTTCTTTGGCTCTTCATAGCTTAAATGCAATCAGTTCAGTGAATGCAAATTCACCTGTGGCATTTTGTGTCCCCCCACTGGTATGCAGGATAGGAATGATTCTATAATTGTGTCTAGCAATAGCTTTTGAATCTGTTGGCAAAGTTGCCTAAAACTTTTGCCTTCAAAAGAGACTTTTTGATGAGAGTACCTGACATAACTTGGCTGGATATCTGTGTATAGTCTCTGTCTGATTTTTGCCAAACACACACAAAATATGCCTCTCATTTTTAGTACATTTCTTATAAGAAGGAAGTGTTTTTCTCAAAAATTTCAGTTACATTTAATTGCTCTTCACCCTGTGTTAAAGTCATCTTATCCTAGGAAATAAGTAGCTCCTATTGATGTATGCAGTATAATTGCTGCTTGTCTGCTTTATTAACCGGGATGCTATTTTGCAGTATACAGTACACTCAGTATGTATTCCAGATCCCCGAAGCGCCTGTGTTTGGCATCCTTCCTGCTCCGAAATCTGTGCTGCCACTTCCTCATTGCTGAGACCACCAACAGACAGGACCTGGAAGTCCAAAAAGCAGTGGTTTAAGACACTACTGGCACTCAGGTCCAACCCACCTTCCTGCCAGCATAGACAGGGCCAAATAATACGAAATCTGTACCTCAGCCAGCCTGTTTCACAGACTGTCTATTTGCTGAGGCATGAAGCAGAGGGCCATGGAGCAGACAGCTGGTATTGGTATCATCTTCAGTCACTTCATCTAAATCTGTCAGATCTCCCTTGACTGCGTCCTTGGTTATTCACGCCAAGTAGCTTAAGCTAGCGTGATATGCTGCTGGTTCTTCTGCGCTGTTAAGGAGCCACACTGCTTGTCTGTGGGGTCCCAAAGCAACTCCAGTTTTCAGAGACAGCTCCATATATTGGCATGGCAGCAGTGAAAGGAATTCAGTCATTGCCAGTGTGGTTTGACTGATCAGCCTCAACAGAAATCTCATGTCATCAGTTTTATCTCTGAATGCATTTATAAACTAGAAGGCACTACTTGCATGCCTGATCACTTGATAGCAAAGGATATAGACTTACAACTTGTTTCATTACTAACATACATGATAAATATCTCTATATATAGGAATATCTATCTGTCTATCTCTCTAAAAAGAAAGAGGAAAAACCTAATCTGATGATGTTTAGAAAATGCAAGGGGTAGAGAATCCATCAGTTCCTTTGATTGATGGTTCCAATAATTATCTACACTTTCTGCTATGAACATGGACCTTGTTTCTCTTTTCAATGAATCTGACTTTAACTTTCAGATATTTGGCTTATATTATCTCTGTCTCTGCTAGTGTATAGGGCCACTTGGTAATTGTATTTTTTTAATGCAGCATTAATTCTAGTAACTAGAATTCTAGCAAGTTTTAATGCAGCATAAATTCTAGTAACTTCTTAATTTTACTTCTAACAAGATTACAAAATTAAACTGTGAGCTCCCTTCCCCCCTTTGATATTTTGGGTTGGTTCTTTTTTAAAATTTGTTTACATGCTACTGGTTTAGGAGGGCTCTGGGGAGCGCACAGGACCACACTGTCTCTTTCTTGGTCACATTAATGGTGAGAAAGTTGTGCAGAAAAAACTGGAGCAGAGAGAGATTGAGAAAATATTTCCCAGACTTTGCCACTGAGCCCTGTGTCCCCTGGCAGGCTTTCTGCTGTTGCGTCCTGGCTCATATGCGATCACCAATCTCACAGGAAGGGAGGAATCATATTAAAAGTATAATAATTGAAAGAAAATTAAAGACTTGGGATTTTGAGTGTACTGAGTTATGTTTAATTAGAGCTCTCTCTTTGGAATTTCTCTTTAGATTAAACTTTTGCTAAAAGGTATTTTTAAGATTTCTGTCAGATTTCCCTTACTTTTATAAGGTATTGCCAAAGAACTCTGCTGTGAAGATATCACAGAGTTTAGCTTCTGCTTTCCCTAGAAGGCGAAGTCTACATGTATGCCCTATAGGTGTAGTCTAAAACTGAAACAATACTCAGGTTCTCATTGCCATCTTCTCTAATGATCTTGTTACCCCAAAGAGTTTAAATGGAGTAATGACCTATGAAGTTCTCATTCTTTTCCTGTGAGTTCAACTTGCTTTTATGAATTTCTGAATTACTTTAAGATTATTCAAGAAGGGTGTTTATGCATATTGGACCAGTAAAGCAAAGTTTCTGTGATGAAGTACTCTGTTCATGCTCATCATCTTTACAGCTGGAATATTTCCAGACAAAAGGGTACTGTGAAGGAATAGCTGTTGAAAACTTGAAACTGAAGTAGTCCACATGGAATATGATTAGATGTATCCTTGCAGATGTCCGGAGTACAACTAGGAGATACCCACTAGGCTTCCAAAATCGTCTCTGGGCTTTTGTTGGAAGTTTATTCTCTAGTGTGAGTGAGTTCTCTAGAGGAGTCCTTTGTGATTATTCCAGAGTCCCATCCATGAGACAGTGGAAGAAAAAATACAGACAAAGCTATAACAAATTGCTTCAGGCCACTACAACTTCCTTGTGCCTGCTGTTTGAGCAGCAGCAGGGAAAAAAAAAATAAAATATATATATTCAGCATATTTGTCTTGTAGGGGCTACGGACAAACCGCCCTCCCATCAGCCTTCCTATGGCTCTGTTTCTTTAAGGCTGATGAGAAAATGCTTGGAGTGCCATGAGAAAACAGGGAAAACATTTTATCAACCTCTTGCTAAACCATGTCAGCCTATACTAACCTTGTTTTTAGGTCTGTTAAGTGTACAATGACACAAAAGCTATTGCAATCTAATTGCAAAACCCTAAAACCACCAAAGTAAAACTCATAAAATGCCTTATTTTACTTTCCAGCAGACAAAAGCAACATCTGCATTACTTCCCTACTTTTTGTAAAGACAAGTTTTCTGCAAGCTTTTTCCAAGACAAGCAATTCAGTAGCTTACAGATATTTATGCAAGTAAAGACCCATTTTGGGCTTACTCTCTAGAAGTTCCCTTTGTGTTTTCATTGATAAATGTATTTTCAATGGTCCTGCAGGTTTTTTCTGGAAGGGATCAGAAATTGGTTACTTCAAAACAGGAGGTGAGAGAAGGTTACATTCCATCTATGTTGTGCTTGATTTCAGTCAGGTTTTTTTCACTAGTGTGATAAAAGCAGACATCAGAGACCATTTAGGGATGGACTCTGCCATCCCTGAGTAGAGCTCAGGGATGAGTTTGATTTAAGTGCTGGTGGCAGTAGTTAAATCATCTGTGTTTCTTGCTTGACACAGCTACAGATCCTGCGCTCCCTGTAATACTGTTCCTCATCCATGGGTTACAAGCCTTGTCAAAAGGAGTGGGGAAACAGATGGGGCAGAAATTGGCTGCATTTAAGAAGTCATTACCTGTGCCCATGGAAAGGTATTGGCCACACTACCAGTTATCTGCCATCCTCACCACTTTGGTATTTGGGGTTCGGATGGAGTTGGAAGCTAGGAGTGCATGTATGAGTGTATAAGAACCACATCACAGGCATGTTCCTCATATACCTCTCATATTTTGGTGACACTGTAATTTTACTTAAAAAAGGGGAGACCAGGAACACCCTGTACCAGTAGATGCCAGATTTTTCCTAGTGGGAATGACAAACTGAAGGAGATTATTTTGTAAACCATCTCCTCTCCCATTACAGGTTGTTAAGACCACTTCTTCCTCAAGGATTACGCAATATTGAGTGTCTCTGTTGAACAACTTGCTTGTGAGTGCTAGAAATCAGGTTAAACTTATAACTGAAGTTTTTTGTGATGAGCTGTTGCAGATTCCCCTTGTGGGATTAAAAGACTAACAGTTTAAACCCATGGAATACCCTGGAGCATTGTTTGTTGTGAACATCTTGAATCTTCCTATCTTTGTGGTTTCCAAAGACTTTATAGGAAACAGATCACAGCCTCCCTTCAGTTTTTTCTGCTTACAAAATCCCTAAAATTCTGAAGTAAATAGAGCTTGGATGTGGATGGTCTCATCTTGACATGTTTTAATTATAGGTATCTTTCATTTCTTCTTTAGACATTCCCTGTGTTTTCTGTAGCCCAAGAGTTTAGCACACAGCACCATCCTTTGGAAAGAGAGCCGCATACTGTATGGGAATAGTTCTGTGACTATTTCCAGGTGACTCTGGTGAAAAACAACTCAGTGAGGAGTAACAGTGACTAAAAGTACAGTCGTTACTTCATGTAGCATTGGTGTAACAGGATAGAAGGAAGGCAGGCTTAAAGCATGTTACGCATCTTCCCAGGCTTTAAAGAAACAAGGCAAATCTGTGACCACCACATGTCAGTAAACCTTGGAAATGCAGACATGTGGGAGTTTGTTACTACCTTTAATAGGAGTGTGTGCAAATTTCATTTCTTTATTCTGACACAGGCAGTAAAGTTATGATATTATCAAAGGCAAGCATAGAGAGAAATGTGTGCAAGAGTGCCTATGAGAGATTCCACAAAGAGAAAATTATTTATGGCTCTTTTTAGGTTTAAAAAATGGTGCTGAAACGGATTTATCTATTTCTTTCCTGCTTGACTTTTACACCAAAAATATTCCCTATGCCATAATGCTGTTGAAAACCAATCAATCTACTTCTTGTAGGAGACAAGACACAAAAAACAGGCACCTGAGCAGCAGTGCAATATTTAGCCAGAATGTTTACTATTCACTGGTGTTTGTTTTTGCAAATAACTATTTAACTAGGGTGGCTCTTTGGAGAAAGAAATGTTTTGTCAAAGTACCATTGCTGCATTCAAGCACATACCATTTCAAACCTGAAAAACATTCTCCAGAAAAAAAAACAGGACAGTTAAATTTAATACTGATATTTATAAGGTAAAACCCAAGCAATTCAAAAATTCTTACCAAAAGCAAACAAATCTGTCCTTAAGACCTAGTAGTTTATATATCCTAAGAAAGTAATGGCAACAGAATCTAGACTCAGTGCTTAAAAAGTCCTTTGCAGATGCAGAGAGATACGTGGGGAGCTCCATCACACGCAGCGATGCCTTTGGAACTGCTGGGTGAGGAGAGGGGCCTAACAACACGCTGGCTGCAAGGAGCTCCTCTGCTGAACAGCTTATTCCCATTCCTAGTTGTGTAACCTGGTATTTGCTCATTTTGCTGGTCAGGTCGGGAGTCACTCGGAGCCAAGGAGCCTGACAAACATCTGCTTTTTCCAGATCTATGTCGGAACAGATTGTCACCCCGAAGCCCCAACATCTGCTCTGCGCAGAGGAACAGTTGTGGTGCTTGCTTGGTGCCAGAACCTCTTAAAGGCACATTTCTCTGCACAATGGCAGAGCCTGACAGCCCGAGTGGTAGCAGAAGTATTTGGGTCAGGTTTTGGAAACGGACAGTTGACTTCCAGCAATTTAACAAGGATTTTTCTTCTCAGCTTTTTCTGTGTTTCCTAAAAATTGAAGTATGCATATAGTAAGACTGAATTAACTTGGCTTTTTTTCTTTTTTTTCTTCCCTTCCCCTCCGTGTTTTTCAATTGCAGCCCAGAAAGCCCTCCTGCAATCTGCTGGAAACGTGTCTTTCCTCACAGAATCCTAAAATAATTTAGGTTGGAAGGAGACTTTGGAGGGCAGCTGGTCCATCTCCTCAGTCAAAGCAGGGACAGCTTTGAACTTGGATTACCCAGGAAGGGAAATCAAGTGTTCTGGGGAGGAAAAACCTTACATACGAGAGCTGGACCTGCAACAGGTTTTTCTGTATCTTACCTAATTCTCAGAGCCCAGAGCGACTGGGCTGCTGGGGCATATCTGTTCCAATGAAACCCACTGCTAAGTTAATTACAAAGGTCTCCTGTTGTAACTTGCTTTGCTAATCCTCAAACAATTTCAAATTGATTATCTTGGCCTACTCTGGGTAAGACAGAAAAGTAAGTCCAAATGTAATAGAGGCTTCATTACAAAGTGGACTAGTGATGACAGCCATGCAGATATGGGACACATTATGTATTTTACCTTTATGAAATGATAATATTTTACATTGTGTGTTAAACCTTTGTAAAAAAAACACCCATGTAATATATCCAAATAACAGAGCAGATTATAAGGCCACTAAAAAGGATTAACGTTCAGATGTTCCTGGGGAAGAAAAATTGTTTATATCCTCCTTTAATTGAAACCGTCCATGTGAAATATGCTACAGCCTAAATAGATTAGATTATAAACTATTGTCACGGGAGGATGTAAGCATATAATTGCCTCCTTTAATTTAATTATTTTAATGGGGGTGGGAAGCCGATCCAGCCGCAGATGCTGCCGGGCGGGGTGAGGCAGAGACACCCATCTTTCAGGGGAGGTGTCCGGGGCGCCCCGCCTGTGAGAGGCCCAACCTCTCCCTCCCTCAGGAACGGGCGCCCCGGGGCCGGAACGCGGGGTTCCCCAGCCCCTCTCCCCCGGTGCCGCCGGGGTGAAGCCCTCACAGCTCCCCCCGGGCTGGGCAGGAGGCAGAGCTCCCGCCGGGGATGGAGCTCCCGTCGGGAGGGGGGGGCCGTTGGCGGCGGCCGTTGGGGCGGCGACCGTTAGGCCGGCGGCCCGGCCCGCGCGCGGAGGGGC